AACCAGTTCTGCATTTGGCATTGAATGGACGGCTGGACCCGTTCAGCGCACGGTGACATGATGAGCCAGGGCCTGTAAAGCTAGAAGTGAGTTGAAAGCCAGGTGCGCTGTGATTATCCAGTCTAGTGTGTTTTATAGGAGGCCAGCCAGACTTACCTGCATTTAGCCCATCTTGGTCAAGAGCACAGCTGAGCCCCTGGAGAGCAGTCCCTGGGGCATTGAGATGGACCAGCCCCCTGAACTTGACACGCGATGGCTCAGGAAGAGGTGTAGAGGACAGTGCACACCTAGGGGGTTTGCCAGATCTTATCTGCGTTGTCTTGTGGCTAAATGCCATGATAGCTTTTAGTGCTGTTGACCTGGCATTGAACTCTGTGAGACATGTTTCCTCCCCTGCCTTGATACTAGCATCATCATCATCGTTGTCATCATCATCGCTTCTGCAAAACTGTAGGTGTTGGCTTCCCTAGTTGCTTCTCACTTACATGGGTGAAGGTGTTATGAATCCATCTTCTCTGCACATGTTGGAAGGTGGCCACATGTGTAGGGTGCAAGGCAGGTCAGGATTGAGCCCTAGAGAGAAATTGCAAGAGGGAAGAGACAGGACAAAGGTGGCGGGGGGGGATGAGAGGGAGGGAGGGAGGTTCAGTTCGTTGTACACGAATGCAGCGGTAAGACATGATCGGACAAAACCTTTGGGATTAAAACGGAGTGGGGGCAAGTGGTTAGCATTTCAATGCAGTGCACTGACTTTCCTGTACTCGATGCAGGAGGTAGCTATCTTTTAGCAGTTTAACCGCAGCATGATCTGCCTGGCCACATTGACAGTAAGGACAGGTGACTGGATAAGGTGCCTGTATGAGACTTGGCTGAACCATTCCTGGGTCCATCATGGGCCCCCACTTCTCTACCTTAGCCGAAGAACAGAAATATTAGTGCTGCAAAGGGCTCTGATGAGAATAGCTGGGTAGGACTGAGGGACTTAGCTAAGGACAGCCAGGTCAGTGTCCTATGTACCGTAATCACTCTAACCTAAGAGGACTCTGAATGTAAGATGTCCCTCCCCACCCAATAATTAGATTTATTATATAAATTAGATTTATTATAATTAGATTTTCCAAACCTGGAAAATGTATAAATTTATTATAATATAACAAACATGTTCTCTGTACAATATATTGCAATGCAATGCAATCATGTTATAATTTTCCATGTACAGAATTTAATTATTTGGGGTTTCTTTAATTCATGCCCCGCAACCCATTGCTGCAGGGAGGCAGGCAGGAAGATCAAACAGCTTGTACCCTGCTTGTGCCTGATCCCTGCCACCTGCCTGCTCCCTCCCACAGCCTCAGGGCCCCTCTCCTCCTTTTACCTCTGCTCCACCTCCTACCCCTACCCCCAGCCTCTCTGCTCCCCCCTTCCCTTGCCCTTGCTTCATGCCCACATGCTCTATCCCTGTTCTAGCCTGGGGCATGGAGCACAGCCCAGCCCCTGTAGCAGCAGTGTGAGCTGCATGCCACTGCTACAGGCCAGGGCTGGGCTGGAGCCCCAGGCAGGTGCAGAGCAAGGGTAAGTGGGGTTGGAGAGGGGCAGGCAGGGGAGCAGAGACTGCATGGGTGATGGGAGATGGAAAGAAGAGGTTTTGGGGGGCAGAGGCAGCAGGGGCAGGGGGCAGGCAGTAGCTGCGGGTATGGCTGTGACCCCGGGTAGGGGCTGGAGCCTAAGCCACAGCCGTCACCTGTCCCCCCGTTGCCCTCAGATGTGGTTCAAAGATAAAGGGCTTTTAAATTTTGGGGTAAAAATGCTCATCTTAGAATCAAGTCGGTTCAGTAACCACTTTGAGCTATTTCTAGCCCTTCTGGCACCAGCAGCAATCTTGATATGGCTGACAGCTGGAGAGCACCAAGGTTTCGAGATGTACGTGCCCCAGAGGCAGTGATCTGCATGCAATGCCCAGGCTGAGTAATAACTTGTTGCTAAATGACTTGGTGCAGGAGCTGTATTTTAACTGCGGGGGAGCTGCGAGTTTGTAGGTAGCCACCAAATCCCTCCTCAGCCTCCGTTTGCTGAGGCTGAACAGGTACAGGTCCCTCGGTCTCTCCTCATAGGGCCTGCCCTGTTGCCCTCCAACCAAGCGGGTGGCCCTCCTCTGAACCCTCTCCAGGCTGGCCACATCCTTCTTAAAGTGCGGTGCCCAGAACTGGACGCAGTACTCCAGTTGAGGCTGGACCAATGTCGCATAGAGGAGGAGGATCACCTCTCTAGACTGGCTTGAGATGCATCTTTGGATGCATGACAAGGTGTGGTTGGCTTTGCTGGTTGCGGTCTGGCATTGGCGGCTCATGTTCATTTTGGAGTCAATAATGACTCCAAGATCCCTTTCCACCTCTGTGCTCACAAGGGGGGAGCTCCCCACCCTGTATGTATGCTGTGGATTCCTTCTCCCCAGGTGCAGCACCCTGCATTTATCTACATTGAACCCCATCTTATTACCATACGCCCACTTCTGAAGTCTGTCTAAATCTAATTGCAGCCTCTCTCTCCCTTCGAGCGTGCCTACCTCTCCCCACATCTTGGTGTCATCGGCAAACTTGGACAACATGTTTTCTACCCCCTTGACGGGGATTGGAGTGGCCGTTGGGGAGGGTACAGAGCTAATTTATGGCACTCCCACAGGAAGGTTGGCCCCCGTGGCTCTATTCTGTCAAGGTTTCCATACACCAGTTTCTTTCATAATATTCTTTGAACAGTCTCTGGATGGCAATAAACTCTAGCTTACTATTGCCCCCAGGGTTAGGGACAGAAATGACACCTAAAGTATAAGTCATCGGAAACCAGTTCAAATCTGTAATACAACAGAAGTTCATAGTTTCATAGTTAGGGGCTGGCAGGGACCTTACAGATCATTGGGTCCAGTGCACATAAACTGCTTTCAAAATGGCCAAAACTGGTTTAAGATAAACTTGGCTGGTTGCAGTATCAGCCTTAACTGATTTAGGTTAAATCAGTTCATTGAACTTCTGTCCCAGATCCCCTCCAGAATCAAGTTAACTCTCAGTCTCCCAGCATCCCAGGGTGTTTTGCATCTCCCCCCCACCTCTCCCACCCCCGCCCTCTCAGGGTGGGCAGACTAGCCTTGGCCCAAGCTGAGCAGGAAGGGATACTCTAGCACCCTCCAGCGTCTGGCTTGGACTACTGCAGGCATGTGGCTGCATTTCTGGAATCAAAAGTGAATGCCTGTTCACTTGCTTATCAGTTCAATATATGCAGGTTATACTAATCTGCAAAGAGTGAATTGATTCAGCCTTGGACTTTTTGACTGTCTGTACTTAGCCCAGGTGTATTAGTAGCTGAATGCCTTCATTGTGCCATCCAGTCTCTGGTATTTTACTTTAATTTGATCCCATGTAAAATGTAACCTAAGGGAAGGACTTCTTTAGGGTAAGGGTGACCAAAATCTGGAACAGACTTCCCAAGGAGGGGGTGCAGTCCCCAACCTTGGAAGTCTTCAGGAAGAGACTGGACAGACCCTTGCTGGGATCATTTGATCTCAGCAGTATTGCTGCCCAGAGCAGGGGGCTGGACTTGATGATCTTTCAAGGTCCCTTCCAGCCCTTTGTTTCTATGACTCTCTGTTGTTCATTGCCTTGGCATCCGAGTCTAACCCACACTGCTTCAAATAGCTGTGCACTTGTGCAGTGGTTTACGTACAGTTGGCTGTTTCTTGAGATGGAGCGAGAGCGAGCGAGCACACCTCTCAGATATTTCCCCATTCAGTTCCTGTATTGAAACACACAGTTTTGTGGTTAGATTCACTAGAGCTGTGAAAGAGAGAACCCCCACTTCGACTTCCCTGGTGCTATATTAAACCCCTCCACTCCCAGCTCAGGACTTATCCCTTGTCTGCTCAGTCGGTGTAAAGTCATTCAGGATTTTTCTGGACCAGCGCTTGTGGGGTGAGCGGGGAAAGGGAGAGGAGGTTGAAAGCACTGAGCATGAGACAGAATCAGAAAAGCTGCGTTCTTAGGCCCAGCGTAGAACAAAAATGCAATACTGAGAAGGTCTCTCTGAAGGCTTTCATGAGTTCAGCAACAGCTAGTTTCATGAACAGAAATGAATATTGATCATGAGAAGGCATTGCCGTAACACTGCCCACCACTTTAATTTCTATCCATCATCCTCGTGGATCTTTGCCAGATGCAGACAAACAAAAACTCCTAAACCAGGGCAAGGCATGCGTCAAATGAACAGCTCAGCACATGTCCCTTATTCAGTGAATATTGACAATTGTCCAAAAACGGCCAGATAAATGGTAAGACGATATTCCTCGAGAGTCCTCCAATAATGTATCTGATTATAGCATTCAGCCAATTCTCATGGTATAGCAAGGGAGGCAAGTGATAGTCCCTCCAAAGCTCAATAACTAATCAGCACTAAGTGGCTTCTCATTACCCCCTTCTTTAGGGCAGCATCTTGAACAAATTACTGTTTTTGACCATATTAAAGAACTAGATTAGAAATGAGTCAAGCTGCGGCTGCTTGGTTGTTCCTGTGCTGTAGTTGAGAACGGCGGCTGAGACTTGCAAAGGACTTGGTGAATTAGGCAGTCAGGTTTCTCTCACTTACTGTAATGGGAGTTGTGTGAAGCTCGTGTCCATCTGGAAATTCACACCCTCCCTTTACTCAGTGTAGACAAACCCTTAGAGTCCTCCAAAAGTCCGATTCCTCCTCCTAAGATGCTCCAAGTTTCTGGTGCCCTTTTGCGGGGGAGAATAACGCCTCATCTCTGCTTCTAGGAAAAATCTCATCTCTTTCGTGCAGGCTCTCTGCGTCCCCTCAAACCAGGAAGCGTGTGAAAGGAAGTTATACACTATAAAAAATGCTGCATCTCTTCAGAAACCGTGGGTAGATTGCAGGGGCAGAGCTTGTGTGCTTGTGTCAAGGCACAGGCATCCTCTGCAGGAACCACTGGAGTCATGAGTGAGCCATCACGAAGAATGCTTCGCATCAGACAGGGAACCTGCTTGGTTTTGCTGGTCGGGCTGTGGCTGTGGACACAGCCGGGTCTAGCACAAGAGTGCAGAAGTGGTAATTTAAAGCTCGTCAATGGAATGGAGAAATGCTGCCCGATTTGTTCATCCAGACCAGGTAAGGAGCCTGGGCGGGGGAATCCTGCTCTGTTATGTGCTGGCAGGAGAACAGGCAAAATTAGACAAATTTTAAGGTGACACGAGTAGAGTGCGTGCACAAAGGAAAACAGAAACAGGAACGTTTCCTCTCTCCTTATTGGAGCTACAAACATCTCTCTAGAGCCTTCTGGGTTTGATACCTGCCTGCTCCAAAAGTCAGTCTTTCTGGACTGTTGAGCAGAGCCCATCTGGCATTGAGATCCCAATGGAAATGAGAGCTACAGTGCTCTGAGAAACAGCGTCAGACCTCTAAATTGGTGTTGTAGCAACAGGTCTGCCTTTGAGAAAAAAGGGGGCCCTGCTTCTCCCTTGCCTCACCCTTAGGACTTGCCGGTTTTGCCCAGTGACACCAACTCAGGCAGGAATCTGCGTAGGACAGCAATGGAAGCAGGTCTTGGATCTTAGCGGGAGAACGCAGCTGGGAAGGGTCGCCTTCCTCGTTGCTTTTCCCCTTTGAGTCAAGACTCGAAATCTTTCTAAGAGCCGCGCTGTAGCTGGAATAGGGGGGATGGCCCCGCTGGAGGAACCCCTGCCTGAAACTCTCTGCCCTTCCTTACGGAGAAGGTCTAAGCAGGTGGTTACGGCGGTCCTTTCTAGCCTCAGGAACCGGCCTGCTGGAACACCTGTGCTTCTTCTGGGCTGGTACCACATCTACAAGAGCCACCTGTTTTGATGGCTTCAGAGCTTGGGCTTTGAAAGCCGTCTCTAGCTAACAGCAGCTTAGAGCAATGGCAACCTGATCAGCTGTGGACTTTCATTTCTCATACATTTCTCAATCAGCAGAGGGTTTCATTTTTCATTCACGTGGCTCTGAACGGGCTCCCCTGGGAAGGGTTTTGCTGCGTCCTACGATGATGTCAGATCTCTGACGAGCATCAAGACACGGTGCTCACACGAGTGAAATGCACCTGTCCTTTCCCGTTGTCTTCCGTACGGGTCCCTTGGGCTTTGATCATGAGGGGCAGAGTCCAGTAAGGGGTGGGGATACTTGGATAATGACTGGTGAAGGGACGTGATCAACACATTGGATGAACCCAGCTCCCCGCCGGTCAGCAGACTTGGCAAAGTGAGTTCGCAGGTCCACGCCTAGTTTCCCAGGCTCTTGCATCCTCTCCCACTGCATGTGCGGGAGGGGAATTGCCCGGGTGCTGCTGCCCATGCGATGGCAGTTCTGTGACTGGAGGATTTAAAATCCCCCAAAGCTAAAATAAGTTGGAGGAAGGAAGTGGGTAACTTAATGCCAGTCAGTGGCAGTGAAGCGGGTCCAGCCCCGGTAGCCTACAAAGTGCGGAGCAGCTTGACTCTGGTGGGAACGGAGGGTTTGGTTGGACCAGCCCCTGATTTTCAGGTGAACAGTGTACAGAGGCAAGGCCCCCCCATCCCTCTTTCCTTCTGCAGTTTAATTTCTTCAGAGGCCAAAGTCCTTGAGTCCCTTTTGCTACCAGTGATCCAGAAAAGCACCCAGAATATATATCTAGAAAAGAACAAAAAGGGCCAAAGGTGGCCTCTGCTTTACCATTGCCTCTAGCCTTTCATGCAGTACCCCGATGCACGAATGCATGCTTTCCCTCTATTTCCCTTGAGGTCACTGAGGTCTCAGGTAAGAAAGGGCCTTCTCCTTTCTTGCCCCAGGGTCTCCCAGTGCTCACTTCATTTCTTGATGTTGTGAGTCCATGGTGTTAGCTAGTCCTGGTAGCTCCATCCTTTGCTTTCATGAGCTCCAGAGCCTCTTGGCAGTAGCTTCTCTATCTTGTGTTGTGTTAAAGCAAGTCAAAATCAAGGGTGGAGTGCCAGTTGCAGCATTCAGATCTAGGCTGGGACCTAGGTTTCCTCTGGATTTTGAGGGGGTCTAGGATTTTGATTTGGACTCCTTTCTATCGAGGTAGGTCAGAGCACAAATGATGGAAACCTCGGTGGTGGGGGGAGAGCATGGGGGTGAGAGAATGAGGACCTGGACCTTGGTGCTCTTTAGTCCAGCACAGGGGCAGTGTCTTGGCCACTGAGCAGAAAAAGTGCTACTTGTTCCCCACAGGCCCACCTACCCTGACAAGATCCTTGCCCAAAAGCACTCCATGATGACAGAGGGCCCACAGTGAGTCTGCTTGCAGCTACCATCATTTCACCGCGGTGTAGGGTCCCCATTGACTGAACCAGAGTGCCTCTGGATTCACCGAGAGCACTGCTGGGTTCACCAGCAACGCCAAGAGCACTGCCCACCATATTCCTCCCTGTGAAAGGAGTTAATGTTCAAGATGTAATGCCAGCCTCTGAACTTTGCCGTATCAGGTGTAACCAGGAAAGCTTACCTCCTTGTGTTCTTCCTAACAGAAAACCAATTTACGCCGTGTGCTAATGCAGAGGGTGACTGTAAATGTGAGGCTGGATACCAGTGCGCTGACCTATCCTGCACGTCCTGCAAGCGACTCCCGCAGTGCAAGGCAGGTGAAGAAATGAAAAAGACAGGTAAGTCTAGGAACATGAATGAATCTACCAAGCTGAGCTCTGTTAAGGTAGCAAGTGGAGTCAGTCGATAGAAGCTGCTGCTCCTCCATCATCCAGGTGTGTGCATCCTGGCAGCCTTTTGGTGCTGAAGTAGGGATGTCTTGGGAGGCCAAGCACCTGGTACAAAGTACCGGAGATCTTCACTCCCCAGCTTTTAAACTTTCCCTCCGTGCATTTGATTTGGGATGAGCAGATTTCACGGCCAGATGCATGGAATTGCTTTTCTTTGGAGTCAATAGAGGACGAGCTGGTACAGCGCCGGTTCTTAATTTCCAGACCCCCAGTGGTAAATGCAATCTTTAAAACGCAGTGGGTTTTGGAAAGTACAACTCATTGTCAGAGCAATCAGGCGCAAACCCACCATCCCCTCACATGTTCGTCAGAGGTGCAAGGAAACAGGAGGATCACTTTCTGTGAGGTTTCTGTCCAGATCCTTATCAGCGCTCTGCAAACAGTGCCCAGCCCCCGGGCAGCCTGTTTGTGCATCACAAGAAACCAACATTTCAGGGAGGGAGGCAAAAATATTCCAGTGCCAAAAGCCACCTTTGCCTCAAACTGCAATGAATAGGTAAATCTCTACACTTTGCTGTGGGGATGTTCAACTGCCCACCAACTTTTTCTAAGTTGCATTTCCTGGCTTGATCATTGCACATCCTTATAGGAGGGATATAAAGAATACAGAGACATCTCAGTGCACCGGGGCTCTGAGTACAGCCCGGTTTCTGGTTGTGCTCACAGCAATGGAGAGGATTAATCATAATCAGGCATAATACTGACTGTGAATGAGAGAGGACTGGGACCTCTGAAAGGCCTTGAGAGTGAAGACGGGTGGTTTATGTTTGAGGCAATGGAGAAGAGGGAGCCAGTGAAGGTATGCAAAGACAGACCATTCCTCCCTTTCCTGTGACTCCATAGCAAATTCTTTTCTTTTCTCTTCTAGGCAGGATTGATTTTGAATTCACCTGCAAACCCTGCAAAAATGGAACCTTTTCTAAAGCTGGGGACACCAGATGCAAACCTTGGACTAAGTATGTATTCATGGATTGTCCTTTTGTTGGCCCACTCGCACAATGCATGCCCCAAGATCATCTTAAATTTTCACGTTGCAAGAGGTGACCCAAGGGTTTTTCAGGGTTACTTCTGCTCTCGGTGCTGAGATCGAAGAGGTGGTTTTGTTCACCAGGATGCCACGTGAAGCTGTTGTTTGGTTTTGTGCCCGACAAATCTCAAAGTGAAACTCGGTCAAATCAAAACACCTTGTGTGAGACCTACTTTCAGAATTGAGCTACAAACCGACACAAATCCGTTCCAGGCCTGGTGATGGTTTGAACGGGATGGCGTCTCAGCCGGTCCTCGGGAGATCTGTTCCCATGTTAACCAGCGAGGGCAGCCATAATAAATGGTGGGGCTAGGAGGGGAAGAAAACAGACAGATGGGTTGCAGGCAGAGGAAAGGCTAAAGGCAGGGAGAAAACCAGAGACTTTCAACACAACTCTTTCGTCTTTTTAGGCATCCAGGTCCTAGATGTGTAATGATCAAGCCAGGAAATGCAACCCATGATGCAGAATATGGCAAAGATGAACCTTCTCTGGAGGAAGGTATGTCCAGAGCAGCAGCTCACTTACCTTGATGGTCCCTTCTACCCTGGTTTTTGACTCAGTCCTGAGAGGCATTGTTGCTGTGGCTGTGGAAATGACCACTGCATCGCCTGCAGTGTTTTCGCCGCCAGCACAACTTGGGCGGCTGACAAGTTCAGGTCCATGCGTCATGAGAGGATCATTAATCCTAGGCTTCAGAGAGTGAGGAGGGATAAATGGAGACGGCACGTGGCTAACCTGGAGAGGGTCCAGAGGAGGGCCACTCGCATGGTCGAGGGGCAGCAGGCCAGGCCCTACGAAGACAGACTAAAGGGCTTGAATCTATTCAGCCTCCACAAGAGAAGGCCGAGAGGGGGTCTGGTGGCCGTCTATAAACTCACCAGGGGGGACCAGCAGAAAGTAGGTGAGGCTCTGTTGCCCCAGGCACCACCTGGGATAACAAGGAATAATGGCCACAGATTGACTGAGAGCAGGTTCAGGCTTGATATCAGGAGGCATTACTTTACGGTGAGGGTTGCCAGAATCTGGAATGGGCTCCCAAGGGAGGTGGTGCTCTCCCCTCCCTTGGGGGTCTTCAAGAGGAGGTTGGATAGGTATCTGGCTGGGGTGTTATGATCCCAGCACTTGTTCCTGCCTGTGGCAGGGGGTCAGACTGGATGATCTGTTCAGGTCCCTTCCAACCCTAGAAACTGTGAAACTATGGCAGGGGTATAACTGAACAGTTCCTTAACAAAACTTATTGGAGTTTTCCATCAGGCGGCTGCAACTTTGTGGAGCTCTCAGGAAACTGCTTAGCAATTAGTCACGCACATTTAAATTTCTTTGGTCTCATTCCCTATGAAGTGACTGTTGTGGGTCCAATTCTTCCAGATATCAATTAGCAGCACAGCTGAAAACAAGAGGATGCAAGTTACAGGGAGGAATACACACACACACACAATTTTGTATGCTTTATATACATACTGAAAACTCTGAAGAGCTGCCCACCTTCAGATCTTTTGGAGATAAGATCAAGTTGAGAGAGCTAAGCACTTGGTAGGATCAAGCTCTCCATATTTCTACAGGGCAGAATTGTACCAGTGCACCCCGTTGCCTTCCCTTGCGTTGCAATGAGAGTAGATATTCAGCCCATTATTCTACTGCAGAGAGACCTCAGGCCAGGTGTGATGTGCAGTGTGAAAGACCACTGAAGCCGAAGAGTAATGGATGAAAAGATGGTGTATGGGTCCTCATTACAAAGCAGAGCTGGGTGCTTAAGGCTGGGCAAGGGAGCGGGATACACTGAAGCAAAGAATATCCCTTCTACAAACAATGATCTCCTGCACGCAAGATCCTAGCTGAGTTTTTGCCCTCCTGATCAGTAACTGTAGAATGACTTCTCTAGTAAGTCAGACACAGTTCTTTGGCTAAATCCAATATCTTTTATTAGACCAATTCAAATAGATGGAAAAATTCTTCTTAGCAAGCTTTCGGGCACAAACGCCCTTCATCTGCAGATGGTCTGTGCTCTTCCTGGATGGAGTGGTAAAGCAGCCAGAGACTAGTACATATGCAAGAGAGCCAGTCAGTGAAAATATAAATTGAGGTGGTCAGTAGGTGAGAGACAGGTGGGGAGGGAGGAAGGGGGAATGAATGTGTAGCTGTAGTCAAAGGATGGGAGACAGGAGGGTGGCGGGGAAGGGAATGAGAATAGCTGGTCAAAAGTGGAGGGTTTACCTGGGGAGGCAGGTGGCAGGCAGGTTATAATGTGTCATAAATCCAATATCTATATCTAGTCCATACAAAAAACTAGAGCACTTGGTTCCAAAATGATACCTTTTATTAGACCAACTGGGAAATGTATTTAGTCCACGATTTTTTGGATCCAGCAGATTGATGAAGTGGAGTTCATAGACTCATCTGTGAAAGGTATTTTCCATAGTGAATCCTAATTCTGCTTGTGATTAAGATGTGTTAAAGTGATAAGGTCTCATCAGGTATTTCCTTGGAGGTGTTGCCTTTCCTGTGGTTCAGGGCTTAGCACGTCATATGTGTTAACCTCTGACTATTCATTTCTTTGCAGGCATCCTTTCATCTTTGGATTCCTCGTCTACTACCATCATGGCAATCCTGACTGCAGTGTCTATCTTCGTTCTCATCCTGATGACCTTCTTCTTGCACCTCTTCATATGGTCACTGAAGAAAGAGAAAGTCCACATAGTTCAAGGTCGGTGCATCCGTATAGTTTGTTGGCTGCTGAAGGGAGATGCCTGGTGTTAGGGGGCCAGTCCAGGACTTGGTAGATCTGGAACAATGTCCTGCTCCCAGTGTGTCTGTGCCTCAGTTTCCCATCTATCTCCCCACCCCTTCCTCACAGGGATGTAACATCTGACCTGCGCTCCATAGTGTAGTAGGGAGAGCACAAGAAGCGTCCACCCTCCAAGCTGCTCTTGGGCAGCACAGCCCTTTCTTTCTGCTGGCAGAACAACACCGTGTTGTGTCACTGCATGTGCTGCCATTTGGGCTCATGTACAACAGATCCAACATGTCTAAGCACCGCTGGCCAGATTTTTGTGTGTGCCAAGGCCTCTTGATATAGCCAGTGCAGTCCTATTCATTCGCAGGCATTCCTTGAGTGGTCAAAAGGGGCTGAGGATTGAGAAGACAAAGAGGAGACAAAGATCCAGCCTTTATTTTTGGGTTGGTGATCCATTTGGTGGCATGGAGGACAGCAGGCATGAGGCAATGCCTTGCTGAGCACCTGCTACTACTGGGGCTCCCGAAGCATCCTCCATCCTGGCAGACACTAAACCAGGAGGCACTGTGGGGAGAAGCCTGTCATGCAGTCCAGATTTCCCAAGGAGTTTGCAGCACCTGGGACATTTGAGGGCATCACTTGAACAGATTCCAGGTTTTGAAGCAGAGCAAGAATACACTAATGTCTTCAGATGAGGAGCAGCCTTAGGTTTCTTCTAGGGTGCAGCTCTCAGGCACACACAGACTGTGAAGACAGGGCATTACTATTTCCCTGATGTGTGGCTTTGTGCCTCAGTCACAGACATAACCCCTGATTTCTGATCATTTCCTTGCAGAACCTGAAAATAATGCCATCTTGATGCCACCACCACCAAGCCATCTTGTAGAAGATACCTACAGCTGCCAGTTCCCCGAAGAAGAAGCTGGAGACAAAATAATGGAAGAAAAACCTTCTTGCATCACCATAATGGGCCTGCACTGAAGAGGTGGATGGAAGGCACATATCTGTGAAAAGGGAAGATTTGAATGTCTTTTCAAACACAGACAGACTGAAGGGTGGGGACAAAGATAATCTCAGAAACACGGCAGTCTTGCAGTAGGAATTGAGGAACTATTCCCTCGAGCTGGCATTTGGCTCAGCCCCTGTTCTTTGCAGCCAGTTCTTCCTATTCCGATCTAAGTCCTTTTCAGCTCAGCCTAGGACCAGAACATTTTGTCCTGGTTCTTCCTGTATGCATCACGTGCTTATAACCGCACGGTGTCTCCCATACTGAGTTGCATGTCAGTGAAGGATCTGGGTCTCCGTTTTAATAGCATGAAATTACTTAAACAGAAGCCAAAATGCCATTTTAAAAAGATAAATTGAGGCCTGTTCAATCCACAATCTGGGTATGCAAGAATGTCCTCGGGCGCTTATGACAGCTTTCACTTGGAAGGCTTCATAATACCAAGGGCATAAATGTGCTTGCTCGATGAAAGGAGCAGAAGTGGCAAGAGGTGGTCTAAGGACTATACTCTGTGCTCTGTTGCATGCAATTAGATTACGTTTCACCCCAAATTGGTTTTAGACCGAGAGGGGACCCTCCGTGGAATCTGAGACACATTTTGCCGGTTGTGGTGGAAACAGGATTTCCTTGTTGCTTTTGACGATGATGCAAATTGCCGTCTACGATGCTGCTTCCTGTATGGTTTCGGTGCGAGGCTGGTAGGGCCACGTCACTTAGTGTGTATGTAAGTGCCACTTCTGAGCTAGCCCTGGGCACTTGTGCTTGTAGGGACTCTTCTCACAGGGACAAGGGCTTTGGCTCTCTGTGAAGGAGATGCGTTTCAATTGTATGGATTTGTTTCTTCAGAACACTTTCCCCCCCACACACACAACCCCTTCTTTCTTAATTCAGATCAGTTTTTGTTCCAGGAATATTTAAATAAAGCACCCCCTCTGGGAAACTAAGCTGAAGGCTATGCAGTCCAAGCAGCAAAGATTCTGCGTGATGAGTCCTCCTCCCCTGGCTCGGGGAATAACCGGGAGAACAAAATGGGAAACGAAATAAAACTGTCTCATGTTGTCTACAGGAACCTCAAACCTCATCCTCCGCTGGTGTAAGTGAGCCCAGCTCAGGTCTGGCAACCAGTGGTTCTGAGGTTCCAGTTTCTGCTTTTCAAGAAGTACAACTAGACCCCACTGATTTTTACATGGGTTTCCAAATTGACAGGACAAAACCTCACCTCCTTATTTCCCAGCGCCAAAGCCTCAGCTGAGGCTAGTCTCCGTCAAAGGAACTACCTTGATTTCCATCAGCTGAGGACGATTCCAGCCCTCGGCTTCAACTAGCGATGCCTGGGGTTTTTTTGAATTCGATCTGATTGCTATGTAGTGTCAATAGCCTGTCTCCCTTGGAAAGAGCTTCTTGGAGCACAGCTGTATGACTGCACCCTCTGAGCAAGCATGAGGTTTTGAGCCAGCCTTCACATGCAAGGTAATAAAGCAAACACACCCCTATCCAGGAAGAATGTTAGTTTCCTTTTTTTTTAGAAAACTGGAGTGATACCTGTAAGTATGACACGCGCTGTAAATGTTACCGAGTGGATAACTGAAACTGGGTGTAGAAATAGTGTCATTAGCTGGGTTACATCACATGCCATTTCTTAGCTGCTTGTCAGTTCCCAAGAAATCCATTATACATGTCTTTATAGTTTATATAATTTCAGGCTTGCTTTACTTCTCGGCAGATCCTTAAATTGTTCATTCTTCTCCGTCCCTGGAAATTGCAACGTGTTGTCGTTACCCTGCCAGCAGCGGGTTCCCTGGGGCTAAGCATTGGGTTTTTTGTTGCCTTTCCTGCATGCCCTTGGCTGTTATTGTAAGGGGGAGGTTGAAGAACTGTATCTTGGCGCTCTCGCACAACACAAGGAGTCAGGACTCCTGGCTCCCATTTCCAATTCTGCAGCTGTCTTGCTGTGTGACTCAGAGCAAACTGCTTAACCTTTCTGTGTCTCAGGGATATTGATACCTACCTCAGAGGAATAGCAATAGCGGGGACATGCAAGAGGAGCCAGAAGGATTGAACTGAAAGGATGGACTTTATTATCCTCAAGGAATCTTTACGCTCTGGGTGCAGAGTTCATTTTAAGTTGCCCCGCAGTTCTCTGGCTACTGTTAAAATGGATATCCTCAACATCTTGATGTCTTCTGTCTAGGGTGTCACTCTGTACATAGCATGTCCTTGAAATGGTCCTTTTTATTTACTGGGGATGTTTAAAAAAGTTCCTTACTATGACCTTTTGTAAAGGCAAAATAAACATCCAAAGTTAGTAAAATGTCTTGTGGATCGAGCAGATTTGAACAGTTGCTTTATTTTTTTTTTGTTCTTGCAGGGTTGGGTTTTTTGGTTTTGGGTTTTGTTTCCAATTATTTTGTTTTTAATTCTCTCTCCCCGATCTTGGTTGGATGGAGTCCGCTTTCTCCGTAGTGCTCTTCTCAGTGCACCTGGCTCAGGACCTGCACAGGACCCCCATCAAACATTTCTGCCAATGCATTTCTGCCCAAGCCAGCACTATCTCTGGTCTCCCTCTCACCAAACACTTGGCTTAGGCAGCTGGAAATCCCAGCGACTTACTACCATTCCCCAACTTCCTAGTGACTTGCTGCCATCAGACCAGGAAACCATGCTTAGGCAAACCCACCATGCTAAAGGCACAAAGCCAAACTGTTTGCTGGGCCCAGGACTAAAATAATATGGTCTGTTGCTTTCAGGGTCAAGGACTGTTTAGGGGGTCTTCTGAAGGCCCAAGTCTCAGCAATAGAGGAGATGCATTTATACAGGGAAACGTAGTGGCAGATAAGTGGGCTGCAGAGGTGGCAAAGCAGGAAGGGTTGCCAAATAATACCAAAATACATTGAGAAGAGCTACACTGCAGGGTTGGGAGGGAGCCTTTTTATATTTTTATATTCCTGACTCAAGGAACATTTCTGCCTCCTGCTTAACTAACTGTGTGCCTAAAGACTTGTAATCGATGGGAAAAATCAATCACTTTTCTGGTGCCTCATAGCTCATAGGGTGGGAAAGACAATAGGGCTGTGTGAAATTTTGCCGGCTGTTTCAATTTGACACTGTTTCGACCCATTTCGAGCTCGAAACAGTGAAATGAAATCGAAACAAGGGGCTTTGAAACAGCCTCGAAACAAAATGAGGCTAGTCGAAACATTTTGAAAGTTTCTAAACGTTTTGAGTTTCAAAGCAGCCAGCAGCGAGGTGGTGGGAGACAGGGGAGAACCAGGGCTGTGCGCCCGGCAGCAGCCAGAAGCGCAGCCTTGGCTCTCCCCATCTCCGGCCACCAGGCTGCGGGAAGTTGATCAGAGCGCAGGGGATGGGAACCGAGTGCTGGATTGGGGTGGGGGCAGGGAGTCAGCCTAGCTGGGCTGACTTCCCGCCCCCAGCCCAATCTAGCGAAATGTCGAAACAGTGTCAACTGTTTCGACATTTTGCAAACAGAACAACTGTTTCAAATCTAAATTGAATTTGAAACAGAATGCTGTTCCCTTGAAACCTCAAAACTCAAGGCGAAACAGAACAGTGCTGTTTTGCAGAGCCCTAAAAAAAAACCTATATGTGAATTGTTGCAAACACGGGGGGATTTCAGCAGAGGAAAGGGTGAGATTTGGCGCAGTGAAAACCCAAGTTACCAGTTTAGAACAGGAAATACTTAGGGTCTTGCTACCCCTTATACCATGAGCCACACCACTTGGGCAGCACGTCTGTGTGGAGTGGTCACCCCTTAATAGAAGAAAAGCTGGGCCGCGTGCATCAGAGATAATCCTGCCTTGGAGTGGCGTAACTTTGAGCTGCGTAACGAGTGCTGAAAAAGACTTTAAGGTATTAATGTGCAGGTAATCCGGGGGTTAAGAGCTCCAGGAGCCACCCCAAATTACTGGGTAGCAAGGCCCTTTGACAGATCAATCTTTGTTCCTTACAGTTTCCATTCCAAAAGATTTGTAGCTACGTTTCATAGATTTCAGAGACATCAGGGCTGGAAGGGACCTCGTGAGATCATTGGGTCCAGCTCCCTGCCCGAGTCAGTTTGGGTCTGTGTGCTCAGTCTTTGCATCATCCCAACGTTTGAATCTGAACCTATATTTTAGCCATCATTTCCAAACTCACAAGTTTTACAAGTTCTGAATTGAGCCATGCTAAGTATTTATATATGTCCAGTATAGAGACACCACTGCACAGGACTTCTGAATCAATCTTTGAGTTACACAATGAAAGGACACAGCCTGTAGTGTGAATCTGCTGACACCAGAGACAGTCCCATAATATCCCCAAGCCTCAGACGTATTAAAATAACCTCCTCTCCACTTTTATCAGAAGAGCCACCTCTTTCCAGCAGCTTATCCACCCCACCCCCGCCCCTCTGCACTCTGTCTCTTGAATGTCACCTAATGCAAATCCTACAGCATGTAGAAAATACACGTGACATCACTAAAAGGTCAAAAAGGTTTGGTTTAGCCATAAACAGTGTCACACTTCTTAGAAACTCATGTTTTACTGAGGTACCTGAAATTCCCTTGGTTACTACTGGTAGAAAAGGAAACAGCGTGTGATGTTCACATGCTAGATAACAGCCCAGACCAGAAAAGAGAACTCTCAATTCCTCTGAATTTTAAAACATGAAGCATTTCTTGGCACGCAGATAAACGCCCCAGTGAAGCCAAAGTGCTGAGGGTTGGGCGCTTAATACCTTTGAGAAGCAGGCTCTTCTTTTGGGCTCTTAGATATGCATCTCGGAGCACACAAGTTGAAAACTGTTGGCCACCGCTTTTTATGAGCCTTCTGAAAACATGTCCTAGAGCTTCTTCTAGCTGGACAAAATTTTCTATTTCAAAGTTTTCTATTTCAGTTTTTTTGCAACCATCTTCTAGACCTTAATAGGAAATGTAATCCTTGCTCTGGGATTTGATTAGGAACTTAGCCTGTAGAATGGACTTAATTTTCTGCTCAACTGTACAGGTGCAGCAACCTCCTGGGTTTGTTCCTATTGAGTTCTGTAAACACCTTTCCAGAAAGGAGTGATTTAATGGTAATTGAACTTTAAATTAAGGATTTTCTGTGCTGCCTTTGTGTGAAAATGGGGGATTTAAAAAAAAAAAAAATTTTTTTATGATCTGACCTCTGCATGCAGTGGGAAGTCTGAGACTGGGAAACGCTCCTTCAGTAATAAACATGTAAAATCCTTGGTGCACAATTTTAGGAAAGGGGCTGTGTATAGGAGTGGGGGAGTGGTCATGTAGATAGCTGTGAGCTCTGGCATGGGCCCTGTTCACCAGAAAGTGGAGTGAAAGATGCAACACACTATAACCAGTGTATAAGGGAGAACAATTTTAGTTGTCACTTTTAATTTGGGAAGAGCCTCTGGCTCTTGGCTGTGGGGGCTGCCTGGCACATTTCCAGGCTCCTGGGACCGGGAGCATGGCCACCTCCCCTTGCGAGGTTTGTTCCACTTTGGAGTCCCTGGGGCGCCAGATAGAGGAGCTCCAGGTCGCAGTGCAGAAACTGCATGCCATGGGGGATGGTAAGCAGGAGATAGATGCCTACTGCCAAGCCCTTCAGCCCCTGGAGGTGGAGGGTAGGCCAAGGTCACCCTCCAGGGCAAGGGAGGACTTGGGGATCTCCCATACTGTCCAGCCAGGGGGTTGGACCAAGGTGGTCAAGGGCCCCAAGATCCGCTGCACCAAGGCTCCCTCCTCTCTGGGGCTTTGCAACAGGTACAAACCTCCTGCAGCCCCAGCAGAGCTTGCAGAGCTGCCAGCTCTGGCAGGCCAGGGAGGATCACCCACCCCTACTCTCCCCAAGACGAAACGCAGAGTGCTCGTCATGGGAGACTTCCTCTTGAGGGGGACTGAGGGGCAATCTGCCGCCCCGACCCCCTAGCCCAGGAGGTCTGCTGTGTCCCGGGGGCCTGCATCCAGGACATAGCCGAGAGGATCCCAAAGATTCTCCAGACCACTACCCTATGCTCCTTATCCATGTGGGCACGAATGACACGGCTCAGAGCAATCCCAGCCATTTCATGAGAGACTACAGGGCTCTGGGAGTGGGGCTTAGGGGCCTGGGGATGCAGGTGGTCTTTTTCTCACTCCTCCTGGTTGTGGGTCATGGCTGAGGAGGGAGAGATGGGTCGAGGTAGTCAACCAGAGACCGCAGTGCTGGTGCCATCATGAAGGCTTCGGCTTCCACGATCACAGCCTGCTCTTTGGTGAGGGAGTCAGTGAGCTGCTGGGAAGAGACGACCTCCACCTCTCTCCGCTGGGGAGGAGGCTCTCTCAGCTAGACTTGCTGACCTGCTCCACTGGGTTTTAAACTGAGCCCGCCGGGGGACGGGGGGACTACCGCCACTGCAAGCCCACTGGGCAGTTTTTGTGCGAGGCACTCAAGGGAACCCACCCCTACCCCTACCCCACCCCTACCCCAGCCCCAGAGTGATCTGTAGGGAAGGCAAGGACACCCAAGGGGACACTTATGTGCCTGTACACCAGTGCCAGGAGCCTGGGGAACAAACAGGAGGAACTGGTCTTCCTGATAAACCAAAAGGATTACAATCTCATAGGGATAACGGAGACCTGGTGGGACTCCCCCTATGAGTGGGCCACAGGTATAGACGGCTATACCTTACACAGGAGAGATCGTGTGGACAAAAGGGGCAGGGTGGGGTAGCTCTCTATGTCAAGGAAAGCTATGCATCCCTGCAAGCTGACATTGGCACCCAGGGGGACGACTGGAGACTCTCTGGGCCAAAATCCATGGCTAACAATGCACAGGGGACACAATGGTGGGGGTCTACTACAGACCTCCAACCCAGGATCAAAAGCATGACCAGGAATTTGCCAGGGAACTGGCTGAGGCTGCACAATCCCGGTGCATGGTTGTCGTGGGAGACTTCAACTACCCAGACATGTCGTGGGAAGAGCGCTCAGGCACATCCGAACAGTCGCAAAGCTTCCTTATGTGCATGGATGAGCTCTATCTGAAGTCTATGGACCAATGAGAGGCAAAGTGCTGCTCAGGGGGGACCTGGTGCCTGCCAATAAGTATATAAGGGGTGTACATCAGGATCTGGGGGGAACGCCTGCTCACCAGAGCACCCCAAGGGATGACAAGGTCAAATGGTCGCAAACTCCTGCATGACCGGTTCAGGCTGGACATAAGGAAGAACTTCTTTACAGTCCGAGTCCCCAAGGCCTGGAACAGACCGCTGCCGGAGGTGGTGCAAGCACCTACTCTGGACTCCTTTAAGAGTCAATTGAACGTTTAACTTGCTGGGATCCTATGACCCCAGCTGACTTCCTGCCCCTGGGGCAGGGGGCTGGACTTGATGATCTTCTGAGGTCCCTTCCAGCCCAAATGTCCATGAAATCTATGAAATTTTGCAAGATTGACGGATGGGGGCTGGGGAAGAAATGCTGAAGTGTTGAGACTTTTTAAGGGACAAGCACCAGTTTCCCACTTGCTTTAGCAGCTGATGCTTCTGGCCCTTGAATATTCCCATCACATCTGCTCTAGGGACATCCCATTCCACCTGTGAGATGAGACCACCCCCTCCTATTCAACAGCATAAAATAGAGGGTGGTGTCACTAGCCAGGCCTCTCATACCTGCTAACTTTCTAACAGGAGGCCTCTCATAGACTGGTCCTCAAGGGCTGTCTCCCACTAGCTCATGACAGGAGATCTGCCAGGAGAAGGGGGCATCTTTTAGTGCATTTTTGTCCAGTAGAGAGCAGTTGTACCTGAATTTGCTTAACGGGTTTTATTTGTCATATTTACACAATATCTCA